TAAGAAAATATAGTCGTGCAATGACCAATCGACAACCTCTCTGTACCGGAGACCCCGCGAGACGGGTGAACGCGCCACACCAGGTGAATGAGGAGACAAACCGCACGTATTGATCAATGATAGCGACGGCCCCGCGTTACGATTCCGAGCTTATGTGAATCTAACATGGGGTGGGATGGGACATCTCAAGTTCTCGTGATTGTCAGAGACCTCCAGCAGGAGAAAGAAATGCTTCAGTAAAAGGTCGTGGGAGAGATCGTACAACCCAACAGATACACAAGATGTCCAAAATGTGAGGACACCCCGACCGTCACTTCTACAGGAGCGCGCCAGACGTCTCATTCCAAAACCAAACGATGGAGGTCAGGTGATACCAGTGACCCTTCCATCACACAAAGACATTGGAGACAATTGTGCTCTTCCAGCCTTGTGGTCACAATGTGGTGAAGACCCTTTTCTGTCCCACCATGACTGCCCCCTGTGTACAAAGCCAACTCCATAAAGACATGGCGGGGCCAGTGTGGTGAAGGCCACTCAAGTTCCTCCAGACCAGAGACCCCCCCGACCTCAAGCCTACTGGAACATGGGAACACCTTATAGTACAGAGGTGCTCCATAGGAGTCATTGGGTTCAGGTGCACAAAGCCAACTCCATAAAAGACATGGTGTGACCAGTTTGGTGAAGGAACTTGACCCTGACCTCAACCCTACTGGACACCTGTGGGACGAATTGGAACATGTATTTTGAGCCCGGTCTTTCTCATCCAACATAAGTACCTGACCTCACAAATGGGATGAATCCTCGAGACACCATCCAACATCTTGTGGATGCCTTCCCAGAAGATTGGAGGATGGTATAACCACAAAGGGGGACCAACTCCATGAGAAAGGCCATGCGGGTGGAGGGCGATTCCATATTAATGGAGGCCGGGGGGGTGGAGGGCCATTCCATATTAATGGCCATGGGGGTGGAGGGCCATTCCATATTAATGGCCATGGGGGTGGAGGGCCATTCCATATTAATGGCCATGGGATAGATTGCTCCTCAGACGACACATTTCATCGCCACGCACTTCACATGGTCGGACATTTTTACATTTTGTTCCTATAAACCCGAACGAGGAGGAGAGGTCAAAGGTTACCAGCGGTGAGAGCGACGGCTCAGACCCGACGTTCCGGTTGTGCGGCTCTGACGAGGACTTTGGCATTCCTGAGGGAAAACATACAAGTCTCCCGGAGGCGGAAAAACAAGCCCAGAACTCCTCTGGTGACACGGCGCGGTGACCCCCGTGGGAAGGAACAGCTCCTGTACCTTTGTCCTGCCACACCCCCCCTCCCCCCCCCAATCAAAGAACTACATTCAATGGCTGCGTATGACATGATCCTCAGCGGCTCGGATCTTTAAATTGCCTTCAGTCCGCACCGCCATTGTTTTATAATCTGAGTGATCAAAACGGGGAATAAACGCCCAAAATGATCATTTCTTGAAAGAAAATGCCGGCTCGGTGGCAACCGCAGGACTCGGCCAGCAGGGGGCACCACACAGAGGCCACTTCCAGCAGGGGGCACCGCACAGAGGCCTCGGCCTGCAGGGAACACCCGCAGGACTTGGCCTGCAGAGGGCACCACAGAGGCTGCTTCCAGTAGGGAACACCAGCAGGACTTGGCCAGCAGAGGGCACCACACAGAGGCCGCTTCCAGTAGGGAACACCTGCAGGACTTGGCCAGCTGGGGGAGTCGCACAGAGGCTGCTTCCAGTAGGGAACACCCGCAGGACTTGGC